AAAATCAAGTAACACATGAGATCAGTAATCTTATTACATGACAACAGTCAAGAAAGTCTTTCAGGCTTCTGTGCTTAAATGTGCAATGCGTAAAATAGTATAAATCCTCATTAGGAAACAACAAAAATTAGGTACTCCAGTTGTAGAAAAATACATGAATGTAGAAAAATGAATGTAAATAATTTAAATAAAGCTGTTAAAACTTAATTTTATTTGAGACTTTTTTTTTTGGCTGCCACTATGGGCTCAGTGCTAAGAATCTTTTCTACAGATAACCAAATTACAAGCAATAGCAGAAAATAAATACAGTAGAACAAAGACACAATAAACAGTGCATTTCAGGTTTTTCATGTAGGTCTAAAAGAAGTTTTTAGGTACAGACATTTAATAATTATATGTAAAATAACATTGCATAGTCTTCACTGTATAAATTAAATACAGATTAATCCTTAAAATTGCAAAAGTTGTCAGTCAAGAGCAGTGAGAGATTGTTTTTTTCTTTGACAGCAGCAGGTTTATTGTTAATCTGCTTTCACTTTAAGCCCGAAAGCACGTGTACTGTTTTTTTGAGCATCTTTCGCCATGAGCACATATGATCGGGGTCAGGTGAACTGAAACCAGAGATCCCTTAAAACCGATTAGTCGACTAGTCAATTTTGAAATAGATACTTTTGTTCCTCTAATCTTATTTCATTATCTAATCTCATCCCGTCTAATCTTAGCTGTGCAGAACATCCTATCAAAATTCCGCTCTTCAAAATCACTTCTTGTTATTTGCATGATGTGCTTTTACTTAAAAATGCAGCTAGACCAAGCTGAAGAATATGCTATTCTTTTTATCTTAAAGGCATTAAAGCCATCCAGGATGAGGAAAAGAGTACATCTGTTGATAATACTATTTTTTGCTGTCAGTTGGGGGAGGGTACTGGGAAGGGAACAGGTTGTCTTGTCATGCTGTTGCATGCTGGGATGCTGGAACACACATTGGAATACATCCCTTGTTGCCCTGCCATAATGCTGCCAAGAACTCCAGGCTTTCTTTGCCATTCTAATAAAAGTGAATATGACAGAGATTTCCATGCAGGTTTCTTGTACACCATCAACATGAAATGAAAAGTGTCCCTGCTTGCTTGCTTTATACATGTTCCTGGTCCTTGTGCACGATTCATCAGTTCACATTTTTCCAAAGAAAAAATGTTTGCCTGTCTAATATTCCATCAAATTGTAAATGATGATATGTCAAGATGCTCTAGAGGATGAACTTGACCTTCAGCTTCTACATTCCAGTCAAAAAAGCCTCCTTAAAAGTGGTTGCCTGCTTTTCAAGATACAGTTAATTCCAGATGAATAACATCAAGTCCTGTCACATTATACAAGTAAAATGGGTACTGATTACTGTTTTATGTTGACTTTAAGGAAGTCACCTTCACTTATATATCAGCCGGGCCAATTAGTCAACCAATATCTTTCCAATTTAATCATTCTAGTATTTTTGATGTGAAAAAGCTGAATTTTCAGCAGGCATTACTCCAGTCTTAAATGTCACATAATCATTAAAAATCATTCTAATATGCTTATTTGCAAATGTTGAAAACTGTTTCTGCCTAATATTGTTGTGGAAACTGCCTTTTTAGGATTCTTTTATAACAACAGCATTCAAAAGAGCAGCATTTCATTGAAAATAAAAATATTTTGTCTAGCATTATAAAAGTCTTAGTTGTCATTTTTAAATACCGGTAATTTCATGTGTGTCTTCTGAACAGTAAAATTCTCACTGACCCCAAACTTATGAATGGTACTAGTGTGTGACATCAATATCAGCATTGGCCATTAAAACCCATGACGGCTGACCAATAAACCCAACAACTATGGCTTGAAAAATGGAAACATTATGGGTTTTATGATGTCTAAATAAATAGTAGGACACTGAGTTGTTGTTATATTGGACTGTATTTGCAAAACAAGATAATAATAGTGTATCACTGCATATAAATGGTAATAGCTGTGTGTTTTGTGTTCCTGCGTGCAGGGGGAATGCCTACTCCAAGGCAAAGCCCTGTGGAGGAAAGGGAGGTGCTGAGTGGTGAAGGAAGATCCAACAACAACAACATGGCTGATGCCACCACCACCAACCTGCTGGCCTCTGTTAAAGAGCAGGTATGCCGCACTGTTTCCATCTGCCAGTGTCTGGCTGGAGGGTAGCTGTAATCTGAATAGCAACTCAAACATGAGTGGCCACAGATTGTAGATGTATTAAGTCAAGCTTCTGCTCATTAGCATGATTAATTCTTGGGTGGGGAAAGCTCACTTTGAGGACACAAATATCTGGTCTACATTGAATTTTAGAGTTGATAACCTTGTTTCATCTGTTTGTGTACAGTGTGGGTTTATTTTATTTTAATTTATTTTTTATTATGTCATCATCCGTTTTGTTTAAGTACAAGATTCATATTTACCTGTTTCTTCACATCAGGTTTGAATTTTAAGAGCTGATAAAGTCTAGTTTTTCCATCTTTATTACAAATTTATTTGAGTGTTTTTAATCATATATTTTATTTTACCAGCCAATTTTTTTAAGAACAAGATTCTAATTTACCTGTTTTCTCACATCAGGTTTACATGGAATTTATGAGCTGGATTTGACCAAGTTACTTATTTTATTACAATTTTTATTACAAATTAATTTGAGTGGTTTTATCATATATTTTATTTTATCAGACAATTTGTTTAAAAACAAGATTCTTACTTAGTGTAGGTTTACACTGAATTTGAGGGCTGGTTTTTATAGTTACCAATTTTATTTTATTTTATTACAAATTTATGTTGTTGTTATTATTGTGTTTTTATTGTGTATTTTATTTTATTACCATTTTGTTTAGAAACAAGATTCTTGTTTACCAATTTCCTCAAATCAGGCAAGCTGATAAAGTCTACTTTTAAGTCTAGTGACCATTTGATTTTTTAATTTAATTTAATTGTATTTTATTTCTATATGTATAT